CGCGGAAAAGTCTTGAGGCATTTTGGATAAACGCCCAAAACCACGAAATGAACCGGAAAGACGAGTGCGTCAAAATCACGCTAGATCTCGGCCCTTTCTTCGTTTGATCTTTTAATCTGACCTAGGCAGCATATAAATAAGACCATACGAATCATTCAAATAGACTAATACTACATGCGCCTAGGCTCTGAAGAAAGCGGGTCGCCGAAACATCAGCCGAGATGCCACGACCAGTTTACCAACCTCGCGTTAGCTAATCAAAATAAATTTTTTCTCGATTTCATATATCAAGTAATTATGCCGAGGTTTACAGAAAGTCGAACTTTTGCTTTCAATATAGTCTGTGAAAACTTTAAAAGCCTTTTCGAGGTTGGTACGTCGGAGCAATACGTACGTTTCGGCGGTGTCGCCAGCTTCATCAAAGGTGTACGCCTCACATTGACCCTACTATATAGCAGGAATGGGGAAACACTATTTATGGTGACACCACGTAATGTTATGTTATCACCATTTTTTCATAATCAGCGGATTACGACAGTAGTGGATATGTAAAAATTCATTTTGCCGTCTATTTTTTAATCTTTTTGAACCTCCCCATCCTTGCTTTGATGTAGGGCTCAGTGTAGAGCCTGGGCCCATGATAAAGTGGCCCAAACTGCCGAAATGTACGTATGTGCCAACCTTGAAAAGGCTCTCAACATTCTGACATGTCAACATTACTGTTAAGTCTAATATCACTGTTATTGTTGCCATTATCATTATGATTATCTGTTCATTATCCAATATATTTTACACGACCCGTCGTAATAATTCATTCTGTAGGTCCCAGCCAGCATTGCTTGTATTCGATTCGTTCCCTTGCATTCGTCTTCCACAGAGGTCTCCGAATATTCCAAATATAGCCTCAGCTTCAAAATAAGGACTTCGTTTCCTTTATGACTTTTTATAATACTGGTCGAGACGATTATCTTTACAATTTAGAAGGCAGCAGGCAAAAGCGTTTCCTCAGTGCATTCGTTGATTGCTTTTAACCCGTTGACAACCATCACCTGTATCACTTGTCGTTCCGTTGATCGTCCAGTGACTCGAGCAGGTACCACCAACGCTTCCACTTTTCGCTGTCGCGTGCGAGAGTAGCCCGATGAGTCCTCCTCGCTCTAGGGATTCGTTAAGCATCATATAATTTTCTGATATGCCTTCCGTGGAGAAATCGGACTATCGGGTTGGTGGTCTTCTTATACAGCGCTTGATGTCTCGAGGAACTTATTCGGTAACGTCTCTCGTCCATCGGTTGTCGTTGAAGCGCATCACATGTACAGCCCACCTTATTTTCGCTATCCTGGAGGCAGAACGGCGTCTATGATCTTCGACATAGGCCGAAAGTTCGAATTCCTCCTCTCATTTGTGAGATGCGAGATAAGAGATACTCCTAGCATCGACCTTTCGACTGCGCGTTCAATAACGCCAAGTGATCTTTCATCCTGCTTATGTAGCGACTAGGTTCCTGCTGCATGCATTAGGGCAGGGGTAATCGTCGAGTCGAAAAGGTGGGCACGGAGTCGAATGTTCTTAATCTTCTTCACTACATCTTCGATGCTCTTAAACGTTCCCTAAGCCGCTCGTTTCCTCCTGCTCAGCTGTGGAGCTAGCTCGTTCATCATGTTGATTTCACGACCTAGATAGACGTAACTGAAGCATTCGGAGATTATCGTTCCGTTGAGCCTGAATGGGGAATTCAAAATCCATCCGTTACTCATGAATATCGTTTTCGTTAGATTTAGATGAAGGCCAATCTTTCCACAGGCGTTGTCGAAATTGGTTAACATTTGTTCCGCTTGGCTGATGCTTGGTGTTATCAGGACGACATCATCAGCAAAGCGAAGATAGTTCAATTGTCGACCGTCAATTTTCACTCGCATATCGTCCCATTCTAGTGTTCGCATGACGTTTTGGGGGCTGGCAGTGAATAATTTTGTTGAGAATGGAAGCCCTTGTCGAACCCTTCTTGTCGATGGTGATATTGCTGAAGAATGGAGCTATTTTGGTCGTAAAATCTTTATATAGATCGCGAAGGGTCATTATGTACCGAGTAGTGACGCACTGCTTATCCAGAGCCTCTGTGAGCGTTTGTGTTTCCACTGAATCAAAGGTTTTTTTCAGATCGATAAAAGTGAGACAGAGCGGTATTTTGCACTCTCGTGAAACTTCAGTGAGTCTTGTAATTGTGTGAATGTAGTCTATTGTACGCGGTCTTGCTGGTTTTCCATTGTATGGGAACCTTGCATTCTAGCAGGTAGGGAGTGAAGAGCCGAGCCAGGGCGTTGATGAGCACTCGCGGTAGGTTTTTTCAGATATTCTGGCCTAACTCTCTTTGGACCGAGTGTTGTTTTTGTTCTTCATTGACGATATAGCATGTCGGATTTCGTAAGGGAGGACCGTTGGAACGACAAATTCACCCTCTTTCAACTTATGTAACAGAAAGAGGACATGTCTAGCAAAGAGATCCGAGTAACAGTGGTGGATGATTTTCCACTACCGTTCTGGAAGATGTAAGTGTCTCAACAGGGCATCAGAGTGCAATCATCTTAGTCTTATAATTAGCGAAGCCTCGCTGGGCTTTGCGAATGCTCTTCCCAGCTTCTGCAACTTCTGTCATAGCTGCTGCTGCTCTCTCTTTGAGATCTTTTATCGCTTTTCTGTAGCGTTTCGCAAGTTCGGACGTAAGGGTTCGGTTGCCTGTAACTCGTGTGATCCCACGTTGACGTATCAGCTAGTGTGTCTGCGGAGACAAGCGCTTCTTCGTGACTATAGGACTCTCCGCTTTCATAGCGCTAACCTGAAGATATTCAGCGGGCCGGTCGTGTTATTAGTCGATGCTGTCGACAACGGTATCTTCCCAAAAGTCGACTACTAATTTGAATATACCCCACTTTATGGCAGTTCTGAGATTTCTTTGGTTAAATTCAGCGGCTTTCTCTCCTCTCCTCGAAAATCGGATCGTTGTGCGAAGGAGGCGATGGTCTGATACCGTGTAGAACTTAGGAGCAACAGTGACATCGGTCAGGTAAAATCTTCGATTTACTAAGATGTGATCTGTTCCCTTATGGTACTCTCCATTGGGAGACTCCCTCGTCCATTGTTGAGAGTAAGGCTTTTGGGAATTGTGAGTTACCCTGGATGGTTTGGGTCGTTGTGATATACTTAGATAGCCTTGAGCCCTGTTCATTCCATTCTAGTTCGTGAGTTCCATTGTAATGTTCTTCAGACGATCTCCTAGATTCAGTTTTTTCGTTAAAATCTCCAATAATCATTTTTAAGAAGGTGTGGTCTTCTCTGAAGTATTTCGAAGTCCATAAAGAACGCCTTGGCTTCATCTCCGTCATAGCTTGATGTTGGTGCGTAAGCAATGAAGATGGTGAAAGCCGGCATTGAACTACATCGTTTCAATCGTAAAACCGATACGGGTTGTTAATTGTTCAAACTAATCAATGTTCACGGTCGTGTTCGATTTGACGAGGACGGCAACTCCTCCGACACCTCTGCTCTCTCATGTTCCAAGAAACAGTTTTCTCCGGTGTCGTAAAAAGCTTGAAAAGGATGGCGTCTTGTCGTCTCGGCCAGGCCACTGACGTCGTATCTTATTCTTCTTGCTTGAAAATAGGTCTTCTGGCGGATTCGTGATTGATCTTGCATTGTAGGTACAGAATGCCATTTTAGTCCATTTCGATTTTGGCAGCCTAGTTTGCTCCTGAGACTTTAGCAGCCCTTCCACACTCGTCCTATCCAGCGCTGCCGTACTGACGGCTCTTTCGGGATCAGGGGAATGAGGCCCATATCTGCTGCCATTTTTAGCTATTTTATGCTGCATTTATTTTGATACCCAACGTATAGCTTGTTAGGATTTGAACGTGTTGGCTGGGTTCTCACGAGTAGTTTGTCAGTCTCTCTCGGGGGCGCAGAGGAGCTATTTTGTTGAAGGCGACTTCACAGCCGCTTGATAGCGCGATTTTGGTCAAACTGACTCGTAGAAATAGAGTTTTGTCAAATCTTCACTGCATGGAGCTCTTCCTTCGAACCCATCTGCGTCTCTGGAAAGTACACGGTCGCTTTTGGTTCGTGTTTTATTCCCCTATCCAAAACCTGGGGACGCGCCACGTGCCCTCGCGACTAAAGGAGGACGGATCCCTCAAAGAGGGAGATCCGTAGATTGGCAACCATATGTAGCGTTTTCGGTTCACGCCACGCTCCGCGCACTAGGCGAGCTGGTGCCAGATTCGTATCATCACGTGCTTCTCTGAAAATAGGAATTATCTGTTAATTTGAAGGTCTGAGGGCACACTGTCAGCATTAAGTGGTGGAGTTCACAGTGCGACTTGTAGAAATGGTTGTTTGTCAAATAAAACGTCCATCTGCAGGAATTATTCTAAGTTTCAACAAAAAAATCACATTATTGTGGAAGGTAGCATACCTCCAGCCGTTATACGTTATAAGAAATTCTTTTCTTTTCTTCATCTTTGTTTTTATAGTCTTTCGTTAGCTTGAAAAATACTGATTCTGAAACTAAGTTTGCTTTGTGTAAAGACTTTCATAGTACGCTCTGCTAACTAAAGTTAAAGAAAACGTTTTTCAAGCGGGACTCATTTTTTAGCTCCATAGGTGATTTTAACCTTTGTATTGTGAAATTGTGATTTTAAGGAGACATTGTTGCTACAAGATATCAAATATTACTGGAGAGATTACTATAAAATTTTTTTAGTAGAAAGGGCACCTAATTTTCTAAAACTGCGTGAACGGCAGTTACATTTTATGAAATGTGGTCGTATTTCTTCCCTTTTTGATCCAAAACATTGCAAAAACGTTTGCGTCAGCCGGGATTCGTACCCAGATCTCACTCTTTCCGGTGCGTTCAATGCCGATAGCGGCTGCCTCGCCAGACCGTCGTCGGTTGGCTTTTGGCAGACAACGCGTTATAGTGTAAATAAGAATGCTGTGCAAAACGAGCGTTGGTAGTGCAATGGTTAGCATACGCTCGCGAAAAGAGTGAGATCTGGGTTCGAATCCCGGCTGAAGCAAAAGTTTTTGCACAGTACTCCACATATTGGGTATACTATAACATCATACCACTGCAAGTGGCAGTCAAAGTAAAAAGAATTTAGACTGATTATCAAAACATTGCTTTTGCTTGAATATCAGTAATCAATATAGCTTGAGAAATGGAGACTTTCGTACTAGGTTGGTTTATGAAAAAACCTTAATGCGCTGTGACAGATAAAAAGAGGACTGTGTTTTGCTTTTGGATTAGATAGCCTAATATTTGAACTTTGCAGTAGTTTTTTGGTAATTATATGGTTCAATTTTGATCTTTGAGCAAATTTATTGTTATCAAAATATAGACTAATAACTGGAGAAACGTCTTTCTTTGCATGAAGAATGCCCGTGTGTTTCGATAATCCCCAACTTTCTTCGAACTTCTTTGAGAGAGCCATACTTCTAACCCTTAATGTGCATTTTTATCGCCTGTTTTATGAAAAAAAAATAATCGAAAAACACGTTTTCCACAATGTGCAAGTCGTAGAAGGAACATATATGGAGAGATTTTCCATGTAACCAGAGCAAGCCTCAACAGAGTTTGCATTAATCAAACTAATAAGCACTTCCATATAAAAGTACACTTGCATTGCACCTCCTGCTTTTTTCAGTAGACTATTAGTAGTCATTCGATAACTAAAAATAGAGATTTCAGGGCTAGGTTCGGTTTATGAAAAGGCTCTAAGGAGGTAGTACTAGCGAGAAAAATATTTCTCTCATTAGAGATAGTCATCTTATTGTTTGAACTTCACAGAGGGGTTCTGACAGCCACATAGCAAAATTTAGATGGTCAGCACAGGCATTTCCAGGAGGATGTACGCCAATACGTCTCAAAAATCCGCGTTCACTAGGAGAACTTCAAAAGTGAAATTACTCTCTACCATTTCCGTCGCACATTTTGTGGAAGTGAGAACGTCTTCCCCACTTACCATCCATCCTATCGCCACAGATATCTCTATCTGTTGTTCATTTAGCCAAAATTCGCTTTACGTTCAACGTTGTTCCGTGACGCAAAAGTATCCAACTTCTCTATGCATCCGTAAACTAAAGTAATTAATAGAAATTAACAAGGCCTATGTGTAAATAATCCTATCAAAATCTCTAGATCTAGTAAGGGCGTCAAGCTTTTGTTTGAACGCCTAGGAACCCAAAAGAAAGGAAGAACCCAAAACAAATCATGCCATGGAGGGAATACTCCCATTGGTGAAAACGATACCCATTGGAAGCAGTTGGGCAACAAGGAGGTTTCTGTTTCGCTGTTGGACGTCTAACCACCTGGGTGTGGTCACATCAAAGTTATTAGGAGAGCTGGGAATTTTATCGGGCGCGAAAGTCTTTTGAGGGCATTCAACTAAAAGGAATAGTAGTGGACGTACGTGGTGCGATGTCCACTGTCAAAGTCACCACGATAAATTTTGCTCGTAGAACAGAATGAACGCGGATAGTAGAAAATTAGCATCCATAAAACGATAGAACAGAGTTTTTTTTGTATCAAAGAGTTGCCAACTCTAGGGGTTTATCAGTAATCGAGAAATTACTGGGATTTATTGATGAAGTGGCATCGCATGCATTATGCAGCATCATTTTTTAGGGACATATGATCGATTTCTCATTTTCAATCACTATCGTGGCTTTGGGATATTTCTTGAAATTTTGCCGAAGGTGCTTTTAACGGATGAGAAGATATTTACGGTCGAACCACTCTAGATTCGCCACAATCGACGTCAAGTTTTCAAGAAGGGCAGTAAAAGTTTGCAATAACAGAACACCATTAGCCGTAGTCATTGTCTTGCCTTTGTGATAGTTTAGGTCTGCATTTACGCCAATGGTAAGACGCCGTCGACTTCATCCAAAGAAATGTCAAACTCAGTGCTGCGAGCTACCAGCAGCAAGTTTTACGGGGCGTACGAGAGCCTGGGAGTAGTGAACCCTTTGGTACCGACGGATTCACGCTGCAGCAGTACCTGGCTCCTGGGCATTCGGCTCGCTCAACAATTCTCATGTGTCAAGACAAATTCGCCAGATCTTGACTCAATAGATTACTCTGTGTGGTCCATGCCGGAGGAAAATGACTCGGCTAAGCTACACTGCCGTAGACGCGCTTAAAACGGCCCTGACAAGCGCATGGGATGATATTACGGTGGGGACGTGTGCGAGCACCGTTCAAAATTTTCACCCACAAAAATTCGCAATTGTCGGACACATAATTTTAGTTCTATTTTTGCGTATTACGTGAATAACAAGTGAAAGCGCCAGCGCTGTAAAATCATCGACCCTTTTATAAGTTTTTATGAACGTATGGAACTGACTCAGCAATTCTGTATGTGCATCATTTCCGCGTTGAGGCTGCTCCGATCTGTAACAATTCAATGACGCAGCAGTCCCGTGTTGCTTTAGTTAGATTGCTGATTATAGTGCAGTCATGCAGCAGCTTTCTCAAAACTTTGATACAAATTAGTATTAAGTTTTCAAAATTCGCCCTATGCTTCTTCAAAACTGTTTTTTGAAAATTTTGTGAACAGGATTTTTCACAACCTAAATTTATGTGAATTACGTGGTAGGCGTTAGATCGCTTAGGTGTTACAGAAGCACAAAATAAATAAGGAGCGCTCTACCACTCCAATACTGCAGTACTTTAACTTAATCAATTTTTCTTGACTAACGGCTGTTAAGACGAACGTCACAAAGAGTACAACTCTGTGGACATTCGATCCACTAATGGTGGCTATGGTGAGGTGAAACCGCCGAAAAATCGGAGCAGCTTGACCCTTTGGGGACCATGAACCCTCTGTCTCACTCCTCTGTGCCACATGGCCACCCCGCCCATTGGAAAAGTGGTTGCTGGTTCGATGGCTACAACGACGCTTCATTGTAGTTTTTTGGTGTTATCTTTTTGCCTTCACTATAGCATGCTCGAATCACTGGCACATTATATCCATCACATCTCATATACTTCTCTTGAAGTTGCCGGGAAAGTACGAATAAACGAAGTACAAGGAACTGTTTTGAAATCATTTTGAGCTGAAAGCAATTAAGTAAATCACATAGATGTGAGTTTTCATTTTGAACCAAATTACATTAGACACTCCCACATTGTCAGTCAGAGTGAAAAGAAGTTAGATATGCATTATATCCCACTAATTCACCTTTTGTATTTGAAAGTAGTGAAGTGTCAGACAACTGCTCTTTTTGTTATGTTAGTCATTTTATAGAAGAACTTTCAATTCTTATTGGCATTAAAGAGATATTACGAAAAAATTACAGTGCCGCGTCGTAGAAGGGGACTGAACTAGGAATCTTCTTCGCAGTGAACGGGGTGCTGAGTAGCAGAGAGGATTGAGATAGGTAGCAATTCCCGCCTGGTGGCTAGAGATGCAAGGGAGGTTAAGCAGACCGCGCAGCGTTCCTTATCATAGACGCAGAGGTCGTGGTTCATGGTCCCGAAAGGGTTAAAAGAACAATGTAAATTTTGTATAAATCGAGAGTTTTGCTGAGAACATAGAGCAGCACAGGAATCTCTAAAAGAAATGACGGCAGCCGCATTGTTTTTCGGTATCTCCGCAAATATCTATAGAGCTGGAAAATGTGAGACATTTGAAATCAGCGGGTTCGAATAAGGTTGGAGACAAACACAGTGACACTGTGACACTCATAATAACCTTGCTAAGAGCGAGAATAATTTGACACAACACTAAGTAGACTATATAATTAACGGTAAGGCCATTTAGTAAGTTTTAAAATGGCATGTATAAGTAATCCATGAAAATCTCTGAAGATATGGAATATCGTATATTAAGAAAACTGCACATGCACGCAAGTGGATACAAAAGATAACCTTCCTCTATGCTCCCGGATAATGTGAAACGCTTATTCATTCCCTATCGGAGGCTCGAAGTTTTGTATATCAATCAACATTCTTGTACACACTCTTTCAAGCGCTGAATGGAGATGCTTTTATAAACGTGCAACTGTATCTACTTTCAGGCGTATTCATTATCCTATGTATATTCGGGATTAGAGCGCATGTGGTGCGGTGGTTAAAGGTGCTCCGCGTCGCACACAAGGTCGATGCTTCGATCGCGCGTTCATGGGTCACCAAGCCATCCATAGCCGGATAGGTAAATTGTTACTGGACAGATCTCAGACTTGTTCGAAAAATAAGTATCACTGACTCGATACAGCGGTAGGCCACCACGAGTCATTTTAAAGGCCACATATGCATTCAATCACCTCAAGGGAAGTTGTAAGTTGAAGACGAATGCATGGCGCATCCCTCAGGCATTGATCAACGTCGATAGCTTTTATTAACTTTATATTCGGAATCATTTACGAGCTGCATCAATGAAAAGTTCACTGTCGAGTAAGCGACAAGCACGTAGGGTACATTTTTAGCCTTACAGCCCCTAACAAGTTAGCTTTGCTTCTTTTCAAAGAGCCAGGCAAACTTTACGTTGGTTCTTTTTCACTGAGTAGTAGCCGAAGTGAATTTCTGAGCCGGAATTAAGATTACTCTTGCATCCTTGAACGAGGAGAGCTTAGAGCACATTCCTTGCCCAAGAGGGCGGATTGTCCTCCAGTGATCTACCCACCTTCAGCCACTTAGTGTGTAACGAAAACGCAAAGCATGTAGATGTGATATTGGCAGGTACACATAAAAAGACCTTCAAAGCAGAAAACATTAATATAGCAAACTGACGGACTCTCAGTCCCAGCGATTAACGTGGTATCTCCGTAATAAAGTCATCACCATGGTTATCTTCCATAACACACGAGGCTTTTGACCGTGGCGCGTTTTCAAGCACAACTACTTCTTTTCATTATTATTTAAGCCAACTTGTCATGTGGTCTGGAAAGGGGTTTTGTACAACCCGATACACGTGTTTGGTCCTTACAGACTCGTCAGCCGGGCAGAACCCGTCGTCTTTTGATCTTTTCATAGTCAGTTCTCTCGGGAGCCTTACACTCCTTATAGAGAGTCATCGAA